TACGCTGGTATTCTGTGACAGCGTCATCTTTCCCCGGTTGAGCGAAAACATTCGTGCTACAACTATACTACTAATATAGCTGCAGCATGGCTCTACCGTGTACAAAATAATGCACGTGGGTTCAACCAGATTCGGAACAATTATTTGTGGGCAATGCAAAAAATTCGTACGTAATTCAATCCCGTTCTCCCGCAGCAACATAGCCGAAAGATGAAGGTTTAGGCACTACGCTACCTAGTCATTAAATTACATCAAATCCAATTTTTTAGTGTTTATAAGTAAACTTCTATATATGTTTGAATGAATATGATCTCCTTCAACAAGGTAGGAAGAGATCGCTATTTAGCCATAAGGCCAGCTAATTGTACATATAGTACAGGATGCTCAGAATGAAATAAATTTTTGAAAATGCGTTAATTTTGAAACGTTAAAGGAGGGGCGCAGGCTTCCATGACCTGCCTACCATGAGTTGCTATACGGGAAAAAAGCGCGCGTACTGTGTCCGCAACTATTACGAGAACCTTCGATCTTACGTGACTGTTCGACGTCTTTTTCGTGTCAAATTTGAACTACGGCGTATTAGTGAGTCTAATCTCTTTACCCACTGTTTAATTAAATTAGTGCTCGGACACTAATTTAATTAAACAGTGGGTAAAGAGATTCTAAAGAACAGGATCAACTTAGAAAAGGCGGGAACTGACGAAACCATTCAGCAAGTTTAAGAGTCTATGTGCTCGTACCCAAGAATATCGACTCGTTCCTTTGCTATAAGTGAACCTAAATCCGCGTTGCAGCGAATTTTGAACCTGGATATGAAATTGCATCCCTATAAGATTCAATAAGTGCAGTAGTTCATATAAGGTATACAAAATTGCACACCTTTATTATCGTAAAGTCCTAGAAACAATGTTTGGCACGTGAGAGTAAAACACAATTACAGCATTCCCTTGAGACGGTAATTAATCTTTGTTAAAGCTATTGCGTAATGAAGAGTGACTTTGACATCTTGCAATAATTGGTCTTAGTTACACAAAAGTAATCCAGTGGAGCTCTAAATGTAATAAGTTAGTGTCGTCCACTAACGTATGATATCATGTCTCAGCTCATCTATGATTCGCATCCGAGCCAAGAAAGTTTTACGAACCGTGGTTTTATCAATGTTCGATATTAAATCAAACAACGATTGTATACAAGAGAATATTTCTTGTAATTGCTTCACTGATATTGACATTATTGGTTTATCTGATTTAGACATGTATTATTATATATTTTAAACTTTAATTAAATAAAACAATACACTTAATAAACCCTAAAAGCGATTATGCCAATAATACGTGTGCGAATGTAAGCTATAGGCTGCAAATATGCTTAAAATAAAACCAACATAAATAAACTACGTCGTTAAAATTCGTTTTAAAAATCTTAATAAATAAGAATAAGTTAAATCTACTGAATTCGAATGTAGCCTTAACCAATTAATTTAAAAAAAATTAAAAAACCAAAAAAAAAATAACTTATAAGTAGCAACAGTAAGTACATAGCGGTTACAGAATAATCAGTCTCTGCTCACTCCGTAAATTAACAGGGCGCGATTCAAGTGCGGAGAACTTATAGGTAATTAAAATGAAATATTTCCTATTTTCCTTTTTAATTTTGTTTATATATAACTTTCCCCCTTAAATTTGTGAGATTAGCGATAGATAGCGGTTTATTGCTTGCATGCCTTAGCGCGAAGCGCACATGTATGTTCTGCTAGGTCCTAAAAATTAAGATTCCAACGTTTTGTCGCATGAAATCATATCTAGCAATCATATTATACATAAAAATGATGTAAAAAGCACATTTTCAGAAAGATAAATGATTGTTGAACTTATAATTATTTTTTTAAATCGTTTAATTACTATTTTTGCATTAATAAAGGGGTTTTACTGGCTTATGGTGTGGATTTATCAAGCAGCGTAAACACGATATTTTTTGAAATTATCAATTGTTCAACTCAATCTATTTTTAAAAGTCTTCATCATCATGTGGAAAGCCATTGAATGTAAATGGCAGTTTAATTTTGTTTTATTTAGTTATAATAAATTTTTATCAGCTCTAATGTTAAAATTTTCGGTGGTTTTAGCAGCCTTGTATTATATTTTTACTAAATAGGACGAAACCGCACGCCGAGCTACAGTCACAGAATAATTTATTTACAGCAGCTCGTGCAGAAAAATATCGATCGCCGTAGAAATAAAAAATATTCCAAAAACCAAAGCAGAAGTTTTATTTTGGGCTACCACTGTGCTACACTTCATAGGTAAATTGTAAAAAAACTGAGGAATTTCATAAAATACTAACAAATAAATTTGAAAACGGGTATAGGCGTACAAAAATGATCAATTGAAAATATTTTTGTTATGATAACCCTATTATAAGGGCAGCCATGACAGTTGTTTTAGATATGACGTTTGACGACTTTGACACATAGACTTAGTATCGTATAGACTAAACATTCAGTGACGTCATCAGCGTGTGAAAGGAATGCACGTATATAGTTAGACATAAGAGTAAGGGAGAAGCAAAACTATATTTCTCGTCTTTTTCTAGGCATGCGTTTTTGTATTTTTCCCACCTTTATTTGACATAAACGATGTCAAGCTTTTGTGAATAACATAGATATTATAAGCAAACAGGTAATTGAATGTAGTGTTTTTTGTGAGTTTTAGTTATAAGGTAAGGTGAAAAAGATGGTAAGTTGTAGCATTTTACGATGTTACAGCATCAGTCAACGAAAAGTTGATAATATTACCTTTCATCGGTAAGTTTATTTTGTGCTTACATTTGCTACTTGTACTGATTAATATCTATTGTTTTGAATATAAAGTGTAATATTTCATGTTTTGAACGAACGTTGTAATGTATTTTGTCAAATATGTGCACTCCCAAATTGTAAATTCTTCATGATAATGCTCCTTAATTTGAACGGTCATTCGAAAGTCATAACAAAAGTGTACATTTTGATTTGGTAGGATTATGGAAACTTTTGGGATATCAGCGAGTATATTAATGTTTTCCCATTGTTCTATAATATTTGTCATTGTGATTAGTAGTTATGTCCATTAATATGAATCACATAATGTTATACATATACATACACTTTTATGTTCAGCTTTAAAGGAAACTCTCCTTATTGCCCTACAACGCATAAATCATTTTCTATATTACATAGACGTCACAAACAATATGTAAGTATCAACCTGAAATGATGTTTGTGTTCAAGTACATAAATATAGGGCAAAGTATATTTAATTTCACAAAATATTTATTGCCTGTAATCAGATGCACTAATTTTTATTGCACTCCATTAATTCTATTATACATTAGCAACAATTACATTACAATATTTATTAGAAAATAAATAAATATCTCATACTTATATTAAAATAAATATAAATATACATAACATAATAAATGAATAAATAAGTCTTAATCTTAAGGTGCTGTCAGCTCGGACACATATCGGCGACCTGCTGCGCCACGCTGCACTGTGATGCATGTGCGGCGACTGGCAAGCCAGCCGATCACTGGGCCGGAAGCAGGGCCTGCGTGTCACCCGCCAAGGCCAAGGCCGCGGGTAAGGGAGGGCCCTCCCCCGCCGCCACCGCCTCTATGGCCACCGCCGCAGCTGCAACTGCCACCGCCGCCGCTGTCACTGTCGCCGCTGCCGCCGCCGCGACACCGACGCCTGCAGAGGGGCGCCCCGTGGAGGAAGCTGAAATGGAATGCCTATAACGGCCCCATTAAGCTTCCTCCAGGCGAATATCAACCACTGCGCCTGCGCTCAGGATCTGTTGCTCCAGAGCATGGCGCAGTGGTCGATTAACATCGCTGTGGTCGCTGAGCCGTATTTTGTCTGGCCTAGGAAGGACTGGGTGGCGGACCTTAACGGCTCAGTGGCCATCATCTCTTCGGCCGCCGCCGGTACTCCGACCCTTGAAGGTGTCAGGAGGGGTCAGGGGTGCGTAGCAGCACGGTTCGGGGAGTTCGTCGTTGTGGGGGTGTACTTCTCCCCGAACCGATCTCTCGCCGAGCTCCACAACTCTCTTGCAGAGCTGAGAGCAGTCGTCGTCGGAAGCTATCCCCTCCCCGTGCTTGTCCTCGGGGACTTCAATGCCAAGAACTTGGCTTGGGGTTCTCGTCGTACAGATGTGCGGGGTAGGATGGTGGAAGACTGGGCTCTGGAGACAGGCCTGGTCGTCCTAAATCGGGGTTCTGTCCCCGCGTGTGTGCGGATGCGGGGCGAATCGGTGGTGGACATTTCGTTCGCTAGCCCCGCTCTGTCGCCGCGTGTCATTGACTGGCGAGTCATGGAGGGGGTGGAGACCTACTCCGACCACCGGTACATCCGGTTTGACGTCTCCACCCAGCCCTCGAGCGCGCCAGTCCAACAGGCCCCGAGTGGTCCGCGTTGGGCGCTGAAGCAGCTGGACCGGGAGCTCCTCCTGGAAGCCTCGATCGTGCAGGCCTGGGTGTCATCACCGGATAGGCCTGCCGACGTCAATGATGAGGCAGGGTGGTTCCAGGAGGCCATGTCCGAGATGTGTGATGTGGCAATACCCCGCGTCCGGCCAGGAAGCGCCCGGCGTTAGGTGTATTGGTGGTCGCGTGAGCTGACGTCTCTACGCGAGGCGTGTGTCGCCGCGCGGCACCTGTACGCCAGGCATCGCAGGCTCCGCATTCGTCCACCGAATGCAGCAGCCATTGAGGCGGAGCTGTACGAGGGATACAGAGCGGCGAAGACCGCCCTCCGGGAGGCTGTCATGCGGGCCCGGGATCGGGCCCGTGAGGAGATGCTGGAGACTCTTGACAGAGATCCGTGGGGGCGCCCTTACAAGATGGTGCGGGATAAACTCCGCACCTGGCCCCCCCCGCTGACGCAGAGTCTCCGGCCTCAGCTCGTGGAGGACGTGGTGAGCGCTCTGTTTCCTACGCGAGGGGAACATCCGCCCCCGCCTATGGCTCCGCCACCTGCGGTGCCGGAAGCGGACCACCAGGACGACGATGACGGCATCCCGGAAGGGACCGGGGTAGACCTGAGAGTGGCGGTACGTAGGCTCAAGGCCAGGAATATCACCCCAGGACCCGATGGCTTGCCTAGCAAAGCCTGGGTCCTGGCCTCGGAGGCTCTCGGGCCCCGACTGGAGGGGCTCCTAAGCGCATGCTTGGAGAGAGGCCAATTCCCGCTTCGTTGGAAGACGGGGAAGCTGGTCCTCATTCGGAAGCCGGGGCGCCCTGCGGACTCTCCGTCCGCATACCGGCCCGTGGTGCTGCTCGACGAGGTGGGCAAGCTCTTTGAAAGAGTCACTGCAAACCGCCTCGCCGAGCACCTTGCGGGGACGGGGCCGGATCTTGCCGGGGGGGTTGTTTTGGCGGTGTCTCTCGACATCGCCAATGCCTTCAACTCCATGCCCTGGAGCTGCATTAGGGAGGCACTCCGGTATCACCGGGTGCCGACCTATCTCCGTCGTATAGTCGGGGACTATCTGACGGATAGGGCCGTCATCTACCCCGGTCGCAACGGTGAGTGGAACCGGCGAGAGATGTCGTGCGGTGTCCCACAGGGTTCGGTTCTGGGGCCGCCCCTGTGGAACATCGGTTACGACTGGGTGCTGCGCGCCGACCTCCCTACCGGCGTCAGCGTAGTTTGCTACGCTGACGACACGCTGGTACTGGCACAGGGGGGTCGTACGAGGCGGCGGCGGAAACTATGACACGCGGGGTTGCGATAGTCGTTGAGAGGATCCGGCAGCTGGGTCTTGAGGTGGCTCTGCACAAGTCCGAGGCCATGCCCTTCCATGGTCCTCGGAACAGGCCACCACCGGGATCCTCAGCGATGGTAGGAGGGGTATCCATCGGCGTCGAGTCGACGTTGAAGTACCTAGTACTCGTCCTCGACGGCCGATGGAACTTCGTTGAGCACTTCCGACGTTTGGCTCCCAAACTGGAACGGACCGGGGCTGCCTTCAGGCGGCTCCTGCCGAACCTGGGGGGGCCAAACGCCTCCTGCCGGAGGCTCTACGCGGGGATTGTGCGGTCCATGGCCCTTTACGGTGCCCCGGTGTGGGCGCGTGGTTTGGCGCGGCTTGCTGTCCACCACCTGAACGCGCCCCAAAAGGTGGTTGCCGTGAGAATGGTTCGAGGCTACCGCACGATCTCCCGCGAGGCAGCGTGCCTCCTTGCCGGATTGCCGCCATGGGATCTGGAGGCGATAGTCCTCGCGCGCCTGCACGGATGGCGCGCGGAGGCACTATGCCGGGGGGAAACCCCGCTGCCGCGGCAAGTTGTCGTGCAGCGGACAGACTTCCGGCATGATCTCATGGCGACATGGAGAGAGCGACTGTCGCAACCCCGTGCTGGGCACGCCACTATAGCGGCGATAAGACCCCTCTTTGAGGAGTGGCTATAGAGACGCCACGGCGTCCCCACCTTCCGCCTGACGCAGGTCCTCACCGGACACGGTGTGTTCGGGAGGTTCCTGCGCCGAATCGGGTGGGAGGAAACGCCCGAGTGCTCCCACTGCGAGGATCGACCAGAGGACACGGTGGAGCAAACCGTGGAGGTGTGCCCTGCCTGGGCGGAGCACCGCCGTGTCCTCGTAGCGGCGATAGGCGGCGGCGACCTCTCGCGTCCGGCCCTGGTCGAAGCCATGGTCCGGAGCGAGACGGAATGGGATGCCGTCACCACCTTCTGCGAAGCAGTGATGCTAGCGAAGGAGGTGGCGAAGCGGGAGAAGGAGAGAGCAGCAGCTTTCCTTCCCGGCCGCCGCGGGAGACGCCCCGGGCGTCGGGGGCTACGTCGTGGCCCCCGGCCACCGTAGGCGCGGGCCTGTGGACGGCGAGCAATGGGTAGCTCGCCGTCCGTCCGTCTAACGACGACAGGCCGTGTCGACGGCGCGTTTTGTTCCACGCGCGCCTCAAAGAGCTGTCAGCAGCGTGAAGGGGCCCGCAAGGGCCGACGCCTGCCGGGGCTGCGGGCTGTTCGAAAGAGATACCACGGCTCCGGAACGTAAGGGCACTGAAGGAACACGGATGGTTTTTAGTCAGTAAAAGTCTGACACTCCCTTCCACTCCACCCAGAGCGAAAGGCGTCATTTGATGATTTTCCATCCGCAAAAAAAAAAAAATGGTACACATTAACACAACAACATAAGATAATATTCTCAATTAATGATGTAGAAAAAAGTTCATGATAATATACTTACCGTTACCATTAGTCATTATCAGAAGTCAAAAGTTATAGGTTTTGTGATAGTTGACTAGCTTGGCAGGAGGATTGGCAACTGCAGTTATTTTGCAAACAAACTATGTAGGAGGTCTATGTTCAGCTGTGGAGGATATTTGTTAGGATTTATGGATTAATTAACAATATCTAAAGCTTAATATGTACATAATTTTTTTTAAATGTTTGGTATGAATAATATTATAATTAAATATTCATATACCTTACTTACTTACTTTTACTTTACTAACTAAATCAATATTGTATTAATTGTTGTAGGTATTGAGGTATTGTATTTATGCACAGATACTCATACTTGTTTTTTTGTTAAATACCTTGATATAAAAGTGTACTATATATTTAATATATTAATTTTTTTAATATATTATTTTAAAGCTTTCCTTAGGAATCAGCTACCCGTAGTAGTTTTATAATCGCTACTGGTCGTGATTATAGGTAATCAGCAAAACTTAGCAGTGTTTACTCAAAACATTTTGAGCCTCATTGTTTTAGGCGGACTAAATATGCTTAATTTATGTAATTTGTAATATAATTAAGATAAAAATTTTAATATGTTATAATTTCTTGTTGTGTCTTTTTGTTTCTCTATAAGTGATATAAGTTTGACCTTGTTGGTAGTTATGATTTTTGACATTGTGCTGTATGTATTAAAAATTGACTAGCATTCCTTAATTTATTTATGGTTCTTGACATTTTATTTTCAAATGCTGACGTTCTGTATTATTATGACTTGTAATAATTATATTGTAACTTAAATTCATTTTATTTTCATTGTGTACTTTGATTGCATGACAATGAAAAAATATTTACTTATAGATAGATTTATTAAACATGAATCCTCATTTACAAATGTAGGAACTTTATCTGTACTTACCATGTTTTATGCAACTAAAGATCTAATTAAAATAAATAAATAATTTTAAGTCCTGACCTAAATATAAAAATGAATAATTTTTTTATGGATAATAATTGTAAAACTGAGACATTTAGTCCATCCTTAATCACTTTTATAAAAGTGTTATAAACATAATGTGTAAATAAATTAAGAAATAAATGTAATAATTATGGTAATTTCCATTTAACTTGATCCTTTTTTAGTAAGAGGCCGTATAAAATCTTGACATAGCTCAGAATGAACATTTTATACCTACATATTGCTGGCAAGGGAAGGCTCAAGTGGGTATGATAAAATAATTAGCTATTATAGAAATTGTATCTGGACAACGGACAATGGATTGCAGTGCTCACGTCATGAACATTGTGTGTTATTTGTGTTGGTCTCGGTACCAAGAGAGCATAGAATTACCGGTGTTATTCCTGGATAGAATATTTATAAGGGATGATGAAAACGAATAAAATCATAAGTCCCACCAAGTTATTTTATTTACATATTTTTGATGTCGCTAATCTAGTATTAGTTAATCTAATTATATAACATAGAACTTGTTTGAAAAATTGATAGTGTTTAGTTAGGCACTGGGCTAGCATGGTAGATTCTTCCCTCAGAAAAAGGAGGTGTATGTCCCAGCAGTGGGAACATTATAGGCTGATTATGCTGCTGCTGCCTAACTGAACTAAAATAGTTGGTATCTTCCCAGCTGTTACGGTGTAATAGGAATAGTTAACTACTTTAACATTAACTTGCACTTGTCAGATACTGTACAGTTCACTGCTCACCTATGAATTATCGAAGTCCAGAATATATTGATAGGCACTAAAGAATGAAGCAGCAGGAAAGTTTAATAAACAAAATAACGTTCAAGCCTTCGTTTCGTTTCGTTATAACCAATCTCTAACTACTCTAATAGATGATAAAAGATGTGCTGCCGCAATCGAGTAGAATATCCTGTAGTCTAATTTTATCGAATCCCAAGATTTTCGAAATTCGTATTGTTTTTTATTGAAGTTATTACGATACACGTCAATCAAACGTCAATGTCAAAATGACATTTTTCAAGTTTTCTCTGTGTGATCTTCGGGTAGAAATTACTAGTTAGTCTGTGGTGTGTCCACCATGTTTAATTTAATGTTGTGTTGCTCTCCTTGACCAAGTTAATTTGAACGTAAATTGAAACGGAGCGAAGTTAAAGAAAACTAACAATAATAATAATAATAATAATAATAAATTTATTAGAACTCAAATAAATGTTACACTTGTTCCGATTGAGCCCTAACTCCTGAACTAGGAATCCTGTATGTCAGGAGCTAGTCAACAATGAAAAACAGTTACTATGTTATATAGCGATATTTACGTATAGTGTACATAGTGCTAGCCCAGGCTCCATACATTTCTGAAACATCTCCTTTGATACTACTATTTGACCAAGGTAAGATATTAATAATATTATTTTACAATCACAGATGCTTGTTACAATATTTTGTTTCACTAGAAGTACGCAGGATTTATATATAAACAAATATACTTATACGTCTTGGACTTCATAGACCTGAAGGTGTGTCGGTATCTGCTACTGGAACTTCTCCACGAGGAAAACTAGATGTGCCGAGTTTGGACTCGTTTTGTTATTTATGATGAGACCTTACCTCCGGGCTTGATAACGTAACTTGAAAGTGAACTTTGAAGACTACCACTGGAACTCATCGACGAGGGGAACTAGATGTGCCGAGTTTGGGCTCGATTTGTTAGTTATGAATAGACCTTACCTCCGAACTTGATAGAGTGACTTGAAAGTATACTTTTGATGGCTGCTACTGGAACTCCTCGATGAGGAGAACTAGATGTGCCGAGTTTAGCCTCGTTTTGTTAGTTATAGAGTATAATAGATATTTATACCTTACCTCCGGACTTGACGGACTTACTTCAAGGTGTACTTCAATGACTGCTACTGGATCTCATTGATAAACAAAACTACAATTTATAATTTTTTAGGGTTCCGTAGCTCAAAAGGAAAAACAGAACCCTTATAGGATCACATTGTTGTCCGTCTGTCTGTCATGACCTTTTTTCTCAGGAACGCGTGGAGGTATCAAGCTGAAATTCAAATCCAATACTCAAATCTACTGTCCCTTAGAGCTGTGAAAAAATCAAACTTCTAAGCAAACGCAATCAAAAGATGCAGCTGTTTATACCGTAAATTTTCAACATTCGTAAGGGAATCAAAACCTACAGGGTACTTCCCGTGAACTCAGAACCTTAAAATTTGGTACGAAGCAACGTATTAGCACAGATAAAAGAAAAATTGCGCAATGCATAAATATTTTGTTACATTATATATATCATGTAATAAAATATTTTTAATAATTTTAAACTTATATAGCTATAGATTTGTTCCGAATCCTTAGTGCGCGAGTCCGACTCGCACATTGCAGGTTTTTTTTAATTTTTTCACTATCGTTGGGCATTGTGAGTCATGCACTTTTGGATATGACTAAATTGGAAGTATATTATATTATACGGTTATTAGTGAAAACTTGTGTGTATTTAAACTACTTAAAAAAATTAAGTATAATC